TTATTCTCTTCCCCCTTTTTCCTTCCCATAGGGCATTAGAACTAATAACTGGCAGACCTTGGATAAAAATTCAGGGTCTGACTTCAGAGTTTCAAATCCAGGGGCAGTTGAGGGCTTTGAGTTTTATATAACTTTGCATCTTCCAGTTTTCTAGTATTGTATCTTGGGCATCATAGATTCTCAATCTTTATTGAATACATGAATGAGTCTAAACTTAAATTGTAGAGGATCGATGGCTACATATTTTTCCATTCAACTCTACATGTGCATACACATAAACATAATCATAATGATCATTACTCAACATATCATAAGGTAGCTTGGCTGATGTCTACTAATTAGCTGAACATTGGGCAAAGATATATTAATTCTTACCTCCGAAAGAAACACACCAACTACAAAAACTCTAGATGTTTTCATGGTAGTTAAATCAAATACATCGATTATGTTTAGAGATTATTAAAACACCAAATCATTGTTCTGATAAATTGATAAAGGACAAGAATCAAGCATTTACCCTTCCTTTCTTGTACAGAATGTATGTCAGAGTAACCAAATACTTGATGAGGAAAAGTTATTATTTACAAAAGAATCACAATTAATAAATGCATGTAGAATTACATACAAAATTCACTCTTCTTGGATTCTTTAATGAAATAATGGATGTAGGAAACAATTACCAGTGAATAATAAAACCATGAGGTAAAAAAATTTGTCATCAAACTATATAGAAGACAAGACAGTCTGACATCACCTCAAACCACTGATCAATTTAAAAAGCTAACACTACTGCAAAAACCATAAACTATGTTCCTCTGATGTCTTTGAGTACACAGCAAGAACTAGAAAGCAATTCTACACAAAGCAATAACAAAATTGACCCTGAATCTAATCACATTTCTAGATCTAATCCCCTAATTATAGAAAATGCAAGAGATTGTTATTGAAAGTCTATGAGATGATAGAAAATATAGGATAAAAAAACATGTTAAATGATACCACAAGGATAACATTAGGCAACCCTGAAAAGTGGGGGAATACTACAGGACAAAATCCAGTCTCTTCCATAAATAAATTGCACTTAAAAAGAAGAAAATATAGACATTTAAAAACTTAAGAAAAATATTGACCAAAAACAATACATATACCTTGTTTGAATCTTGAAATAAAAATATTTTTAATATAAGTAAATTAAGCATAGACTTAACATCGGATGGTTTTAGGGAATTATTGTTCTCTTTATGTTTGAGATGTTTTACTGGTATTGTGGTTATATTTGCAAGTCTTTAATTGTTACCTATGTATGATGAGATATTACAGGGAAAAATAGGAGGTTGGTTTTAAAATACTAAAGAATATGTTTCTTTTTATTTTGGTGGGACAGGAGAAATAATGCTGACAGAAGGATGATGGTAGTTGAATCTTGATGGGTTCATGCTAATTCATTATATTATGTTTTCCTGGTTCATGCTAATTCATTATATTATGTTTTCCTAGTTTGCGTGTATTTAACCATTTCCAGAGTAAAATTTATTTTTAAAATGGTCGCTATTCAAACTGAGCCAATTATGTTACTTAGACTCAATGAGCTGTAGCTACTATTAAAATTGAGAGGAGGGATAAAAAACAAAGCTGGAAAGGAATGTTTATCATCAAATAAATGAGCACATATGATCAGAGTGAGGAAAAAGAGCAAGGTCGACGGCATTGGAACCAGAGAGTGTGTGAATGAGCAGGACAAACACTAGAAAACAGAGGCCAATTGTTTATGGCTAGGCCAGAACGTAAACTTTCAAAATTTAACATGTCTAAAATAAATCTAGATTCAATTCCCACAAACATTTTACCCTTGATTATTTCTTATGTTAGTTAATGGCACAAGTCAGAAACCTAGAAGTCAACTTCATATCTCTTTCCTCTTCACCTTTCACTCCTCTTGAATTCATCACCTATATGTCTCTCAAGTCCATCAACTTCTACCCATCTTGGGGATCATCACTCTGGCTCAAGTCACATAATTTCTTGCCTGGATTATTCCAATAATCTCTAAAAGCTATTTCTACATTTGCTCTTGCTCTTTTCAAGTTTGCATTTTATTATATCAAAACTGTGCTTCAAACCCTTCAGGGACTATGATCTCATCCACATATATGCCACTATACTTATATCATCTCCATAGCTTTGGGGGTTACAGCCACCTTAACTGTCCTTAGGCTCCTTGAACATGCCATGAACCTTCCAATTTGGAGCCTTTGCATATGATATCCCTTTTGTCTGGAATGCTTTCATACCCACTGCTCTCCTTTTCACTAAACAGATGTCTACGAATCTTTCAGATGTCACCTGAAATGCAAGTTCTCCCAGAAAACCTTCCTTGACTATGCCTCATGAGACGGGATAGGTCCCTCTTCCATCTTCCCAAATAGCTCTGTTTTTCTGTCACAGCAGCTTAAAAAGCCATTTAATGAGGGGAAGAAAAGGTTATTTAAAATAAATATACCTAGCTATAAATATTTAAAATTACTAAAATGAAAATATTATTTTAATAGACTTTAACATGCTTCATGAGGGTAGAGACCTCTCTGTGTGTTTACCATGGTACCCCATCTCTCAGCATATGCCTGATCGCTGATGCTCAATAAATGCTCACAGAGTATTTACTGAGCCCCTCATTCTGGTGAATAGAGTATTGTATTAACTTAAGTGTTAACTCATACAATAATCTTCCAGGGAAGGATACAGTACTTTCAAATTCTATAAACTAGAGACACCTAGAGAATATATATCTAGAGTTCAGGAAGAAACCAGTCTAAATGGGGTTTGATATTTAAGAAGTTTGTATTGACAATAAGACTGATACATGCATGGGCCAGAGGCGATAATGTCCTATATTTGAGACTAATAATGAGGTCTGTCGGTTTAATGAAATCAGCCTTGTGAAGAAACTTAAGTGGACAAAGTGCATTTTAGCCATTTCCTCAATGCACGCTCTGCAGACTAGGAAAACCAGAAAAAGTAGACCCGGAAGCCCTGTAGTCTGATGGAGGTTTTCTAAGTTACTCACTGAGAAGCCTGATAGTGGGGCAAGTGTAAAGCAAAATTCTTAATTAAATTGAACATAAGAAGTTGAATTTTGTCTGCAAGTAGATGGAACAGAATTACAAAAGGCCCCATGTGGTTAAAAGTAATACAGAATCAAGACACCCCAGGGACAAGAAGCCCCGTTTTAATCTCTTTGTGGCTCTGAAAGGAGGAAGAAAAAAAGATTAAGCCTTCTTGTGAAGATCATGTGATGACTTCCTGATCCCAGCCACAGGCAGCATTTCCATGGAAACTTCTCTTCTCTTCCTCTGCACCCACACACTGCTCCTTCCACCTAAAAAGGCTGCTTTGAGTCTTCAGAGAATTGTATGGAGGAGCCTTGATGTTTTTTCATGAGACAAACTCCAGCAGAAAGGGAAGAGAACAGACAGGCTGATATTCCAACGTCACCAGCATAGCGCTGACCTTCCCTGGAACTGTGCAGCTAAGAGCCCAGCACTTTTGCTCTCCTCAGAGCTTTCACTTTTCTCACTTGCTCTTTAAGCTCTTGGGACCACCCAGCTTTGAGTACAGAGCAGGATAAGGAAGGAAGTCTCAGAGGCGCAACTTTGATTTGACTACTCTCATCCTCTAACTCTTCAACGCACTTTAGTTTTTAAGCCCCTTCATGGACTCACCCCAGGTTTTATTTCCTATAATGTGGGGAATCTATTTGAATCAGAACTCTAACTTTGCACCTGAAACACAGCTCCCATCTCTACAGTTTCCCTGACCTGAAGGAGTGTCTCCATTCTCATTTGTCTTCCCAATTTATGCCCACCCTTTAAGGTTTATTCAAGTGGCATTCCCTTAATAAAATCTCAGTACTATTATCCAAAACTATGCAACTCTTCACAGGATCTTCAGTTCACAAAGATGCCCCCTCCATTGAAAGTCTGATATACTTATTATTTATACTACTCATTTGAAAGCTAGCATTAGTGGTAAAATTATATTTTTATCTATGCATTTTAATTTATCTAGCTTACTGTACACAAGAGAAAGAATTCCTGAAGGGATTTATATCATCAATAAATATTTGTTGAATAAATATACTAATCCTTCTTCATTCATTAAATTGAGAACTCCTTTGCAAGACCATATTGCAAACAAAATTTCAAATAAATTCCTGATTTCCAGAATTTATGGGTGACACAAGATATCTACAGCATTAAAAGAGAGAGAGAGAGAGAGAGAGAGAGAGAGAGAGAGAGAGAGAGAGATTGATTGATTGATTCCTTTGGAATATTAACTAGTAAAAGTCCTCACAATAAAGCAGACTATGCACCTATCAAGGTGACTTATTCTTAGGAATAGTCAGAAAAATGAGTGGTTAGACAGCTCACAAACAGCCAAATGCATCAAGAAAATCAGGGAGAAGTAACAGTAAGATTTTTTTTTCTGATACTTTGTACAAAATAAATAAGCTGCAATATAATCAGATATATGAAATAATCTTTAGGCTCTGAAAGGAGTCTCTTTTTTGCAAAGCGGACTTCTGCAACTGCTGGGCCCCATTTATGGTCTCGGAGAAACAACTACCCCACACTCATAACGTCTAACCCTTACTGACCTTTGTGAATGAGAGCAGCTCTATTCCTGACACTACTTCTCATTTTTAAATTCAAATCATCATTAGTGTCATTGTCAATTAACTGGGTTTATGTAGATCAGACATTATTATTGTTAATATTCATATTATTTATGATTATCCTAACCACAAGAAACTATTAATGGTAAATAGTGTTTCTCACATTAACATGGGCCTCTCCCACTGGTGGGACACATGCCAACTCCAAAGACAAGTTAGTCATGTGGTTTTCAGAAGACGAACGCTTACGAAAAAGACTAAGAGTGTTTGATGCTGGAGGTGGGCGTGGTATTACATAGGTCTTAGCCAAAACATGTGATAGTCACTGTAGGGGTAGCTGGAAAGAGAGCATGTGGCTCAATTACCCAGCTCAAACAGATCTGGTGGGGCCTAGAGGAAGGATGCTACTGGCTGTGTTGTACTGCCTGCTGTGGAGTTTCCAGACCTCCACTGGCCATTTCCCTCGAGCCTGTGTGTCCTCAAAGAACCTGATGGAGAAGGAATGCTGCCCACCATGGGGGGGTGATGGGAGTCCCTGTGGCCAGCTTTCAGGCAGGGGTTCCTGTCAGAACATTATTCTGTCTAATGCACCGCTTGGGCCTCAGTTCCCCTTCACAGGGGTGGATGACCGGGAGTCTTGGCCCTCCGTCTTTTACAACAGGACCTGCCAGTGCTTTGGCAACTTCATGGGATTCAACTGTGGCAATTGCAAGTTTGGCTTCTGGGGACCAAGGTGCACAGAGAAGCGGCTCTTGGTGAGAAGAAACATCTTTGATTTGAGTATCCCAGAGAAGAACAAATTCCTTGCTTACCTCAATTTAGCAAAGCGTACTACCAGCCCAGACTATGTCATCCCCACAGGCACCTATGGCCAAATGAATAATGGGTCAACACCCATGTTTAATGACATCAACATTTATGACCTCTTTGTCTGGATGCATTATTACGTGTCAAGGGACACGCTGCTTGGGGGGTCTGAAATCTGGAGAGACATCGATTTTGCGCATGAAGCACCGGGGTTCCTGCCTTGGCACAGACTCTTCTTGTTGCTGTGGGAACAAGAAATCCAGACACTGACAAGGGATGAGAACTTTACCATTCCATACTGGGATTGGCGAGATGCTGAAAACTGTGACATTTGCACAGATGAGTACATGGGAGGGCGCAACCCAGCAAACCCTAACCTACTCAGCCCAGCATCCTTCTTCTCCTCTTGGCAGGTAAGGTGTAGTGGATATACAATATCAGAGCATAAAGAAAACTGAGCAGTCACTTCTCAGGCGAGTCTTCATAAATCTCCCTCCCGATCTCTCCTGGCGAGAGTAGAAAAGGTCACCTATTAAGGGCTCTCAATATATCTTGTATTTTTCTTTTAGAGCACACTTCTCAATTGTAGTTACATAGACATCTGTGAGGTTATCTGTCTAATATCTTCTACTAGGTTCCTAAGTTCTAATAAATATAGAGTACTTGTTTCATCACTGTATCCCCCAGCACCTAAGGTAGTGGATGGCAAATGGTAAAGGCTTATTATTTGTTGAATAAATAGATAAGTTAATACTTAGATGATCAAACACATAAAATGATCTAGGTCAGTGTTTCTGAAATTTTCTTCACAATGAAATTCATACAGAGCACATACTAAAAATACAAATCTGTGTCTTTATCCCAGACCCACTGATTAGAATCTTCAGGGAAGGGTCCTGGGAAGGCATATACTAAATGTCTATGATGAGTCCTATGATCAGGAAAATTTGGGGAATATTATTTTAAAAAACATATGAGGACTCTGAGGCCCAAATAGGTAAATAATGAAAATAGCTAATATTCATTGAGCTAAATGAGCTAATAAATAGCTAATATTCAGTTATGTAGCATGTATGAAGCCCTGCTGCAAATGTTTTTGTGCATTAACTCATTTAATACTCTTACTAACTTTTCCCTTTCTTAAAGATTTAAAAACTGAGCTACACAGATACTAGGTAACTTGTACAAGATCACAGACCTAGGTAGTAACAGAGATAAGATTTGTTCTCAGATAGCTTGGCTTCATGACCACCCTATACTATTTCCAAGGACATGACTGCTATGATGTCTTTAGCCAAAGGGTATGGCCCATTCTGTCTCACATTCTTCATTGATTTGCATTGAAATTTTCCCTGAAACATGCAAACTTTAGAGGAATAGTATAAGGCATTGCTACTTTGCAATTTAATTTCTATTTCTCCTATTTTGAATTCTTCACTCTAGATTAGAGGCCAAAGGTAACTAAAGAAACATGCTTTTAATTATTTATCATTTTAAACCATAAGGCAGAAGGAATGTTTTTCTGCTTGTATTCCAAACATTTCTAATACAGCACTTTTGACAAGCAGTGCCTTATGGAACTAAACCCAATATTTAAATAAGATGGGAAGAATCATACTTGTGCCTTGCACTCTGCAGTTTTGAAATGTGGGTGGTTTCCCATCCCCCCACACAACTAAGTTCATACACCTTCCAATGGAGCCTGTTGAAGCTCACTGAAAAATAGTCACTGTATAATACCTGGTGTCACTAATGTCAGCTATTTACCAAGAATAATGAGTGTATTTGTGCAGGAAAGGCTGGAAAAAAATGTGCTTAGAAAAAAATCTATTTCAATAAACCTTCAGACCTCCTGCCTTAATCTATAAAGTGCGAAACTCTCATCTAGCTCTCACCTCCTCTGTTACTGCTTAAAATATTGGTAAATTTGGATGTGGGATTTTCAGTCAGTTATAATGCTTTCCTTAACTGTACAGCTTCGCTTGACCCAGAAAGGCTAGAGGATTATCTAAATTACCAAGCAAGTTATAACATCCACACTAAAGCTTATTAGATAGATGCTAATTGATATTTAATTCCATAAGATGTATGCTACTTGGTGAGACCCACATTATGTTTGTAATTGTTTTCTAATCATTTATTATATATTGAGTGGAATTTTTTTCCTTTATTTTTTTTCTTTATGATTTTTCTCTATTTCTAAATAAAACTTTTTGGGTCTAGGAGGTAAACACTGGACTGAGGCTATTCAACCATTAGATTTCACTATTGTTATCTGATTAAACTGCTCTGTAGTAACTGGTGTTAAAAATAAAATTACGAAATAGAGTGGACAAAGATCACTGAAGAAAAACAAGCCAACAACAGCTTAAGTAAGGAAGGTGAAATGAATGGACATTTTTGTCCACCTACTGTGAGTGGTGTCACTATGTGAAGTGACAGTTACCCAGCTCTGTTTGGCTTGTTTCCATTCCTTCACACAGCATCTCTGGTTACAGTCATTTAAAAATTAAGATCAGTTATTTTACTGATGTAATTCAGTAGTTCTCAGCATCTAAATCATGTAGGGAGCTTTCAAAAACAAAACAACAACAAAGAAAACAATTACATGAGCTCCACCCATATAACTTCTGCTGAAAAAGTTATATCCAAGTTGTCCACTGTGAAGTCGAGGCATTTCCATTTGTAAAACCTTCTTATGTGATTCTAATGTGTGGCCAGCCCTGAGAATTATTGAATTAATTAACATGAAATTGTTTTGGTATCTCCCTCACTTTACAAACTCAGGTTCTGTAACAAACACACCACTTGTTTAAATGCTTTTGCCTGAATTGAACACTCAAATCAAGAGCTAGACTATTTTGGGTGAAATGAGATCACAGAGCTTCTGTACTCAGTGAATTGATTTATACCTTCCAAATTAGCCAGACTAATAGCCGCTTTGATACCAAGTTTCCATTTTTTCCCCTTGGTTTCAGAAATTTTTACTTGACACAAAAATAGAGGTTTCCAAGATTCATAGCATTTATGAACTCTGAGCCTAATAGACCTTCAATCGTACCTAACAGTGCCCATCTTCTATAAAAGAAGATAGAAAGACCCCCAAACATAGGATGAGTTGTCCAAGGTCACACAGCTGAGGACTAAGACTCAGTGCCTGTGACTCCAGTGCTATTTCAACTGAACCATGTGGTTCCCTATTTATAAGGAGCCATTTAGGCCCAGAAAGGATCAAACAAGCCACTAATTTATGGATGTAAATTTTGACTTATAATCACTTTGACTCCCTTAAAATTCAATTGCACAGACAACTGGTGTAGATATACTGATGTAGTCCTTGTTATTCGTGCTATAATGAAAAAACTCCATTAGACTTTTACTGATCCACATCCCTTACTCAGGTAGAATTGACCCTCATCCTTCTGTGCTTTCATTACACTTTGTACAGATCTATATTATAGCCCCTATAACTCTTCAGTACATGTAATTGTTTCAAACCTATCTTTGCCTACCAGACTGTCAGCTGTATCAAGGTAGAGACGTTTTCTCGTTTATTTTTATATCCAATGAGCCCAGGACCATGTCATATATATATAGAATGGGCTTTATAAATGTATGTTGAATTGAACAAAATTAAAAATCAAAGAAATATTAGCTCCAATGCTAATATTCATTAAAAATTAAATTCTGCGTGGCTGGATTTCT